AATAGTATATTTCAGCACGTGTGGGGCAATTTCGTCTTTAACGTGTGTGGGGTTTACAGCATGAGCCGAAGGCGAGTGATGTAACCACACACGTTAAGGACGAAATTTCCCAACAAGTACTGAACAAAATTTTATGTCACGAAGCCTGAAACCGGCTGAATTAGACACGAGACGCGAAGCGTCGAGTGTGTAATCCAGCCGGTTTCAGGCATGAGTGGCATAAATAATTTTATGATTGCTATCACTTCAATAAAGGGACTTTGATTATCGAGAATCTCCGCGGGAGGGTGGGCATTGTTCTTTTGTTTCCATATGTGTTTATCCTCTCACTTTCGTCGAGGCACGTGCCAGACGGGCTGGGAGTGGAAATTGCAAAACGCATACTTTTTTATTATCCCTCAACGTGGGAAATTGTCTCAGTAGTATCGACAAAACAATTTATTTAAATACAGAATGCTGTCTGTGAAAATTTTTTCATCGGTTATTGTGAAATCAGTTCTATTTAAAACTGCAATAACTTAAGGATATCCAAGTATCTTTTACAGTTTGATACAGACCACAATAGCGATTCAACCATTTTCAATCATCAAATTTGTCAATTAAATTGCGTGAGAAAAACTTGAAAAAAATCATGATTTTTTAAAAACATTTGTTTATGAATAAATAACTGGAATTGGTTAAACTTTCGGAAACCTTATTTTTTAGGCATGAAATCCATTTCTAGTGAAATTCTAAATATAAATAAATTTGTCACGATTCCGAATAAATAATTTTTGTGGTGGAAAATTGATTGCTTATAAATTTAAATTTACAGAAAATGCTCGTAATTTTCAAATTGTCATTTTTCAATTATTTCATTAAACTTCTTCCAACAATAAACTTTCTAATTTTTTTCAAATTTTTAAAATGTTTTTAAAGGTTCAATATCGTGATTCAAATTCCGACTTGCACAGTTTAAGTGATGAAATTATTATAAGAAGCTTAAAATCATTGTCCAGAAACTTAGGGTTATGAGAAATGGAGCTCAAATGAAAACTGATGTTCGACTACAAAAGTAGAAAAGCATTTCACTGGAGAAAAAGTAGCCAAAGTACTTGGATATCCTTAAGTCGGAATCTCCCATACCATCAAGGTTGATTCAATTTGAATCATTTTTTTTTGCAAAACCCCTCAAATTTCAAGATAATAAAATTTTCACAGGGGCCTTATTTGTAATTTTCAATTTTCTACTTACCTCTTATGCGAACTCTTCTTCTTTTTATGCTTCTTATGATACCGATGTCTGCTGCTTCTACTCCTGCTCTCACTCCCACTCCTACTTCTACTTCTTGATCTGGACCTCATCCTAGTGCGATTGATCCCAAGATCAGCGCTCTTGAGTCTGCTCATGAGTGAGTTTCCAGTCCCTCCCCCAGAGTCCTCAAGAGTGGGCGATGGAATCGAGTGAACCTCATCCGAGTCATCCTCAATCCTCTCCATAACTATCTTAGGAGCACTAGGTGCTTGAATCTGACTGAGAAACATCGCAGCCTTCTTCTTTCTCTCTATCTGCAACAATCGTTCCCTAGAAGTTGCAGCAAGCTTGTCCCTGGCTGCAGCAGCCAATTTATCCTTGATCTTATCCTCTGCTTGCTTGATCCTTATCTGATTCTGACAGTCCTCGAGAATGTCATCTGTCAAATCCACAAGTTCCTTCTCCTCAGAATCTTTCCTCCCTTGGTCACTGATTCTCGGTGGCTCTGGAGGCTCAGGGGTCGAAGGTTTAGAGCTTTCCTCCTTCTCCCTCTTCTCCGCATCCCCATCATCATCACTCTCTTCCATCGGTAGAGCACTGCGTTTCTCCATGACAGTCGCCTCTCCCTCCTTCGGTTTCTTTATCGAAAACGACACTGTTGTGATTTGCCTATCTCCTTTCTTCTTCGCTTGAATCATCTTGACTCGTTTTTGAACTTCCTCCATTCTCTGTTGTTTCTTCTGTAGTTCTTCCAATTTCTTCTCCTTTTCTTGCTGAGGTTCCTGCTTACGAAGAAGCTCCTCTTCAGTTAAGACTTTTGGATTGACACCACCCTCGTAGATTGTCAATTTGTGAGCATAGTAGCCATGATACTGGTGTGACAGCTCGAGAAAGTTGAATCGAGGATCTCCTTTGGCTTTCACGATTGCCTCGAAGTCTCGGCCGTTTTTCGCAACATAACTGGCCATCTTGTCGATTATTATTTGGACATCGGCGGGGGGCACGATGAATGAGGGACGGCTGAGAGGCTTTGGAGGGGTTGTTCCGTAGGGGACCAGAGGGGCTGGAGGTTCCTTGATGGAGGGAAGGCTTTCGACGGGCTGGGTCGGGGGCGTTGACACGTGCGGCGGTGATTGAATTTGGCCATTCGGTCCGTAGATGACGGGACCGTGGGAGTACTGCTGAGGAGCTGGGGGGTATGGTGCGTAGCCCTGTGGAAGTGATTTATTGATTAGAATTTTTCAGATCAATTATTTCTCGGTAAAGTATAGCAATACATGACTCCGAATTAATTTCAATAATTTGTACATCACAGGGATGGCCATCAAGATTAGATATCTTCAATATTAAAAGGATTTGCGACTTACGTTGATAAATGTTCCAATATACTTATCAAAATTAAAAAATAATAGAATATTAATGGTTTAAATTTGCGATCGATGATTAATTAAATATTGGATAATATAGAACTGTAAATTTTCCATTAAGTGCAGATTTCTAATTTCTTAAAAAGGATTATCGATTAACCAAATAATCCGCATTCTTTTTACCTAAATTATTGATTGATAAAATAATTAAAAGGTGAATATTTAAATTGATGATTACATGAATAATTAAAAGTTTAAGAGTGATGTTACCTAATTGACGGCTTCAAAATTCAACGGTAATTGTGATCTATGAATATGGCTATCTCTGATACATCAAACAGGTTTAGCAGTACAAACAATAATATGAATTACAATGAGAAATGTTATTTCGACCGGTATATTCATATTCTGTATTATCCCCGAGCTATTTTACTCGGTCAAACCGTAGATGTTTTTAAGGTACAAATTGAATGGAAAGCAGGATGCGGGGATAATACAGAATATAGTCCCTTACGCCCATGCACTTCCTGTTCCGATGGTGGTGTCCCAGAGGGAACTTGGGTGACATTTACGTTTTCGGGGTCGCTGATTTCGATTTTTTGGTTCCCAGCTCGAAAAATTAGCAGTTCAATTGTTATTAACAATTTAATTTTTAAAACCGTTCTATCTCCTAAACTATTACAGCTACAGAAAAAAGTTAAATGACAAAATATTCCTCTAGCTATTTAGAATAAATGATCTCTTCTATGAAATTTCGATATATCGAACGCTTCGGGAGATATGAGCGCAGAAAGAGTCGCGCACTTAAATAGGCCCATTCAACAGTGCATGCGGCGCGCCCTCTGTAGTATGAGCCATCCGCGTTCAACTTACCGTTTCGATTTCATAGTAAGGGGGATTTTCTATATTCTGTTTCTGTTATTCTGGTTATGGATAGAACATCTGGAATAAAAAAAACAATCCACACCTCGAATGTTTAAACACTTTTATAAGAGTATTCTGGCATGTTCCTGAGATTACACATCGACAAAACCTCATGCATGCCAAACCAGTGGCAAAACACCGACAAGATTTCCTCGTGCATTTAGTGCAACAGCAATTGGGAACCAATTTATCAATTGGTGGGTAGAGATCAATCATTTTACTGGGGATAAGGAACTCATCTTAGCAATAGCCAAATTTGAGAGGATCAAGGTTCGTGCCTTCTCTATCTAAAAGGTTCTGCTTAAGTAGAGTTGTAAACATAGCACGTAAAATATGCAATCTCATAGACACACTCGTAGGGGGTAAATCATTCAAAGTAATCGTCGAACCACTGTGGTACTGGCAAAATCGTAACCGGTCGAACGTTGTACATGCACTGGATTTTCGCAGAACTTGTATCAAGTATCTCTCAGCATTACTACGATCACTCCTCAACTCAAATTGATGCTTACACGATCAATGATAAGATAATTGCTTGTCCACCATTGATTTAGCATTCACTAGATGAGAAATTCGATTCCAGACCTTATCCTCCGAAACAGCTGCAGCTTTTCGAATTTTGTCAGATCTACTCTCACTGGTTAATGAAGAGGTTTTTTCTTTTTTCATACTTCCACAGACAAAATAAGTACTAAACTTCTCATTAACGATCATTGATTGAGTCCTAGGTGGAATTAATTCGACATTTTCCATTAATTTTCGTTGAGATTTTTCTTTTCCTTCTTCATTTTCATTTGACTGGTTTTTAAATAACTCGCTCAACTCGATCTTTCTTTGTATAATCCCGATAACAAGCATTCGTCAAATGATAAACAAAATTTTTGTCATCACTCAATCCATTCAATCGATCCAGAATATGATCCTTTCGTTCTTGGGCAACCACGCGAATACGTTCACGACCCCAATGTCCACCTGTCAACTGTCCTCCCTTTTGACAAAATATACATAAACTTTTCTCGAACTTCTGGTACACTCGTAAAGATACTCCTTGACTTTCCATCGTATTGAAAAAAAAATTATTGAAACGGCCTTTCAATACAGTAAATGATTAAATCACTTCATCCAATTGAGAACATTCGTGTTCGAAAGACGCGAGAAAACTGAGAAGAGGCGATACTAATTTTTCAAAATGCCCAGTTTGTTTACTTTTTTCGTGCATTGTGTCATAGAAAGAGTGACCTACGTTATTTCTGAGGAAAAAAAAATCGTTCAAAAATACGCACGCTGAGAAATAATACAGCAAACTATATGACGCATGGTCCGTAGCATAACTCCTTACCGGCCTGGTAGTGCGTGATCGATCGCGGAAATGCTTTTCCATTCATATCTCCCGAAGTGTTCGATATATCGAAATTTCATAGGAGACATAATTTATTTTAAATAACTAAAGGAACATTTTATCATTTAACTTTTTTTCTGCAGCTGTAATAGTTTAGGAGATAGACGGGTTTTAACAATTAAATTGTTAATAACAATTAAACTGCTAATTTTTCAAGCTGGGAACCAACACATTCAGAATCATCGACCTCGAAAACATAAATCCCACCCAAGTTTCCTCTGGGACACCACTATCGGAAGTGCATGGGCGTAAGGACTAATAATATGAATTCAAAAAGAGTCGCTCTTCAACACAGAGGTCTAGTAACTCAAGAATATGTGTGTGTGTGCGTGGGGGGGGGGGATTTATTGAAGAGTATACACATAGGTCAGATTTTATTCACTCGTGTTTTGGTGTTGTAATGAGTCTCCGGGACAAGTGTCGAGTTGTAACACTCAGAAGAAAATATATTTTTGCCAAATATTCATTTACTTGAGAGAAGCATTTATTTTTTCAAAATTGTATTTTTTCAATCGAGTCACTCTCACGCGAGTCTAATTAGGTTTCAATTATGACAATCATGTGGCTCCAGAGGATGACTATGTTGCATATGATCTTCAATGAACTCCATCCATGTTTATTCAGTTTTGTTAATTTTTCTATTTTCTACAGGAAAGAATTTCGATTAATTTATTAATGTTTATAATTATTGAGGGAGTTCACTCAAGGTCATAACTAACATGATCATCTTCTAGAGCAATATAATTGAAACCTAATGAGAATTGGCTGGGAATGACTCGATTGAAGAAATACGGCATTGAAAAAATGAATATTTCTCTCAATTAAATGGATATTTGGAAAAAATAATTTTTCAGGACTGAAAGTTCTAATTATAACGGTAATAATTCCAATTTATAGTATTAAGAATTCTAATGAAATTAGATTCTGCTCTCAGAAGGCTCAGAATGTACATTAGACTTTCGCCATTTTTGAACCATGTCTCACAATCTAAAAGGGATAGAGGAATTTTCATTTTCACCTTTCTTGCGCGTCTCTCGTTTTACTTCACAAAACAGGTATTCACATAAAAATCGCGATCTAGCTTCGATTCTGAGATATTGAGAAAAAACTAATCCGCAATTCAATTTTGAGTTGAGTTTTCAATACATATCTTTGAATCTAAGTTTGATAGAAATATTTTTATAAAAGCTTTGTTGTAAATCTTATCTTTCTCTAGAAAAAATAATTTTGACAAAAATTTAGTTATCTCTCTTAGATGCTGAGATATTTTCAACAAACTGATTTTCTCAGAGATTAAAATTTGTTTTCTCATAGCATTGCACCCCTGAGTTTGTCACAGCACCAAAAGTAAAAGCATAGAAACATTAGGAAATTTTTCAAATTTACAAATGAAAAAAGGAAAAATTGAAAACGATTGAAATTTTAGTTGGAATTTTATATACTAAAATACCTGCATATCTAGAAACCAACGTTTGTTTTTCGAAAATTGAAGAAAATTTCCCACAAAATCTATATCTTTGAACATTTTTTTTATTAACAGCGGCTCGTCATTAAAATTGAACAAGTTTTTAGAAAAAATATTTAAAAAAACAATCCTCAATATCTCCGCTAATAACTGAATTAGAGTCCCTATTGCGTCCCTGTTGCGCTCATTTTTCGTGTTTTAGAGTATACATTCCAATAAAAAATATATTAAAAAATTTAGAATTGAAAGGCGAACGTTAATAGGGGAGGTAGGGGCAAAGCGGACCCTCTAAGCGAATCGTTTAGTTTTTTAAATTCTAATGAGTCAATGCACTTCACGTGGAGATCATAATCTCATTAGAATTGCAATTAAGATCTGTCATTAAATTTAAAAAAAAATTTATGTTGGGGCAAAGTGGACCCTCTGTTTTTTTTTAAATTATTTTAATTTTCCGTTTGTCAGGAGTCATTGTCATGTTGTTCTACCGATTGGATAGAATGTAATCGCTGTCGATCAAAAACTCACATTTTTTGTTCACAATTAGATCCGCAGGAGCTCACACAAATTTATACTTGCCCTCATTGCATATTTTTTTAGTCAAGGTAGTAAATTTCACGTTATAAAACGTATTAGAATAATTCTGGCGACTCGATTCAATAATTTATGTGAGGGTCCACTTTACCCCACACTTTTTTTTCGAAGGGGTCCGCTTTGCCCCGGGGGTCCGCTTTGCCCCTACCTCCCCTATATGCAGCATTGACGGATTCGCTCAGATGTTTTTTTTCTTCAATAAATCCAATTACAGTCTTCAATTATAGAAAAAATCGGAAAACAGCGAGGACTCGTTGCTCAGCCTTATTGTGCGACCACTTAATTGAAAAAAATGGGATTTTCAAAAGTTCCAAAACCCTTCAAGTACGGCGTCCATGCCACATATAGACCCGAAAGCTTGTCCTAACGGCCGGCGTCTATGAGTCATATAAACCCTTTCCGTGGTTAATAAAAATTCATTATTTTTCGTACTATTGTAGATATCGAAATTCTAAAAATTTCTATCTATTTCTAAAATCTTTTATCAACACAACGCGACTCGATTTTTTTTTCAAGTTATTTTTAATAAATTGGGTGGTGCCAGATGGTATGACCGTTGTGGTCTTTTACCTACCCGTCCCAGTACCTACGCGGTACCCCAGCCTAATTCCCTACCCGCACTTGCCTCTAAGCTAACTTATATCTAACTCCACATAACTAAATCCACATGCACTGGGTTCGTTTTCCGGCGATGAAAAAATCTTTCATCACCGGGACTCGAACCTGCGCTACTGGGACGCTTTGGTTTATAGGGCCAGCACGCTGACGACGAGCCCAAAGACGTCAGTTATTTTTAATATTTTTCTTCAATACATAAAGAATACAGAACTGGAGTCGATGTCAGGTGCATATTGAAACCTCTCGTTTATCGAGCTAATTTTCATAAAAAAATTCTCAAATTTTTACCGAACATACTCTATACATTCCTTTGTCGAATGGTGCAAACGAAATTTCGATTCAATGAATTACTGATTTGTTATTAACAAATTTCCGACAATCGCCGATCTTGGTAACCGTTTGCACTATCGAACTGAGAGTAGTCTTAAAAATTCCAGAAAAATCTGTGTAAAGAAATATCGTAATTGAACAATTTATTGGTGAAAGCTCAAGATTATCATTAAATTTTAGATGACAATTTTTTGATCATCAGTGTAGAAATTGTTGCGTATTGAACAGCGAATTTGAGTAGACGGGAGGCCGCCGGGTGAGGAGGGCACCGCGTAATATGGGCGCCGTACTTGAGGGATCAATCGATTTAAAAATTTAGGGATGAGTGTGTCTACATCTTTCGTGCGGACTGAATCGGAATTTTTTATGGTATGAAAAATGCTAGAAATGAGATTTCTTGCTTGTATAGCAAACATATTTAATGGAAACCAACTATACCTGCATTGGCATTGGTGGATAATACCCAAGAGGTGGTACCACCTGTTGAGCAGGCACTTCAGGCGGTGGTAGCGGTGGTGGAACCCTTGATGGTGGTGGTTTACCCGTTATTCTATTCACCAGCATCGAGTACGCACAGTCCGCCGAGGGTTTGTACTGTATACTCGGGATACTAGGAGCCTAGGAAAAAAATTTTAAAGAGAATATCATTAGAATAATTGCCAAGTCATATCAATTTAGTGAATCTTCTCTAGTATCGACCTGTCAATCGATATTCGTATTGAGAAAAATTATGAATCTTTATCGGAATGAGAGAGAACGTTTTGTTGACTAACTTTGTTAAGCTTCTTTCAGGTTTTTTGAAAACCTTTTTTCGAACTGTGAATTTGTACAAATATTGAGAGACTGGTCGTATCGCGTTCATTGTGGTTTTTCTCTATTTTTTTTTTTTTTTTTAATAAACAAAGTGTTGAATCGATGGATCCAATTGCATACCAGAACCAGCCCTGGAAACAGAAATAATATCAGAAATAAATTAGCAGTGAAAGTACGTTTAATGCTACGAATGACTACACTAAACTCACGCATCAAAGGCATTAATAAACTTTCAATGTTATCATTCACTTTTACAATTAAATAGTGAACCATAGTTTTATGGATAAACGCACTTTTGTATCGAAATCCCGTGGTCTTGAACGGGAAATATCAAGACCTCTTTTCTTTAGTTGAAGATATTTCCATATAAAAATTCCTAATCTTTCCCCTGTCGCACATCATTGAAATAATTTTGTATTCAACAAAATAGGAAAAATTGATGTTAAGTTCTACCTCATTCTAATTTCATTAATTTTCCAGTTAGATTCATCTCCGATTAAAATGTATTTTCATTGACAGCCTTTGATGAATTCATGAGACAGTAGAATGCCTGTCGAGACCACAGAACCGCACTTACCCCGCGGCAAGGTGAGACTCAACGGGCATTTCTCATCTTTTTAGATTCTTATTATTTACGTACAATAGTGAACGATTCCTAGTTCTAATTTTTTTGGGACCTACCGCTTCAACTTTGGAGAGAGACGAGGCGAGACTCGGATGAAGATAACCGTCTTCGTCCTCATCCGATGCTTCTGAAGCTGAAAAAATATTGAAGGAAAGAATTAAAAATTGAACAACATAGGTTCAGAAATTTTTTTGATTATGAAATTATCTCGGAGATGATTTATTTCATGGAACAACATGAAGAGATTTTCTTTGTAGCTGATTGAATTTTTAACAAAAGTGTCTCTTGAAATTCTCCATTGAAATGAATAATTAGATAAGTTACCTGATTCCTCTTTTTCTAGCGGTTTTTCCGGATTGTATTTCCCCGATTTAATACCCTCCAACACGATTTTGTAATACGGATGCAGAGGACCATCAATGGAGAGAAATGAGAACTGTGGATTATTCGCTTGTTTGGCTTTTATGAGAATTTCCATTTGACTTCCTTGACGACTGATGAATAGAGCAGTCTTCGTAATGATTGCATCGAGTTTCTGGGTGTCCGGCTGCAGGAAACAACAATTCAATAATTGATTAATTATCAATATATCCTATAATGGCATGAAATCAGTAGAAGTGAAAAAAAGATATTCGTGGATAATTACCAAAATTGTACCCTCAGGCACCTCAAGTTCTGGAGGCAATACGAACGCCTGATCTTCCTCCTGCGACCCTTCAGACGGCTTTGGACTCTGAGAATCTTCCCCGATCGCTGTTTGACTGTCCTGATCATCGTAATTGTACGCAACTTGGCCATAAGTGTGTTCATTACCGAGTGCTTGATGTAATCTTTTCATTTCTTCCTCTGAAAAAAATTAAGATACGGAAGGAAATTAAGAAGTGTCAAAAAATGAAGAAACTCCATTGAGCGTAATTGGTGATTTTGTTAAAATAATTCTGTCGGTGATGCTTAAAAAAAGAATGCTGCCGATGAGGTGAGCTAATTGGCACCATGCTCAATCGAAAGAACGGAAAATCTCTGTCGGAAATACTTATTGAAAACCCGAAAACAAAATTACTGAAACGCAAAATTTTGTCACAAACTCACAAAACCCAAAAATTAACGTTGCGGGCGTAATCAATTTTGAAAAAAATTGAAAAAAAATTTTTTTAGATCTTTTGAATGACAAGAAAGTCATATAAGAAGCCTCAATAAAATTAAATTTTTGAAGGTACAAAACCATACCAATAATTGGCGAAAACACCCTTATACAACACATGAGAAATTGAATTGACATTATCCCGAAATAGCCCGCTGCATTTTCTTTTTCAAAATTTCACATCAATTAATTTCGCTTTATGAAAGAATTTTCATGGCTAAGTTGATAATGCAGTAAGGGGATAAGGTTTATAAAATGCTGAAGTTGCTTACCATGATACATTGACTCTTCAGCGTCATTATTGTACAACGACCGATAGCGTTCCTCATCGCACAGCTGTTCGACCTTAAGTTCATCCTCAGTAAGTACTGTCCTCTGATCAAAGCCACCAGACGGCGGCTCGTACATTCTCAGGTCCCCCAGTGCCCCGCGTCCATCGTATCTAAAGACACAAATAGCAAGATTAAACTCACAATAATGGCAAACCTTCTGAGAAAAAACATTTTATCGCATAACTGCTCAAATTATTCTCCCTCCGCCACCTGAAATTGAAAATAAGCTAGTTAAATACTCCGTGTGCGCTGCGTACATGTAAAAAAAGGGTTAATAGAAGGTTTTCATCGTTTCTCGATTATTACGGTTGGCTTTGAACAACAAGTATTCATTTATGCACCATTTAGACAAATTTGGAAGAATAAGAGAATTTTTATCGACCCCTTCACTACTGGAGAATAAAATAACACATTTTCTCCTTGTAAATTTCACGTTAATTTGAATTTACGGGAGAACTTTGATCGATTAGTCTGTAGTGGACTGGCAACAAGATAAATTCAAAAACCTTCAAGATTATTTTGCAAATAGCTCAAGGAGTAGTACATATATCGAAAAAAGTCCAGATATATTTCTTTGAATCCGTTCCTTTCTCAGATATTCGCAAAACAACTTGTATATCCTTTTACGCCACTACTGAATGCCAAAGTGTCCATAGCCTCACCGCCTCCAAACGACTCTGAATACATACCCCATAACAAATGAATTGAGTCGAAAAGGTCAACTGTACAACTCCCATTTTTTTTCTCTCATTTTTTTGTCTCTGTGCGCTGTGTCTCACCTTTCTCCCAGTGGCCCCGTTGTTTTCCCCTCTGAGGTAAATTGCAGACACCCACGGACATAAAATTGCATTAGCACCCTTCAACATGTTGGTGCCGATGACAAACACCTGCAGGGAAACCTTAAACAGTCTCCACAATGGCCAGTAACAATAACAATTCAATGTATATCTCATTTAATCTTTTTTCAAATTTTTTTTTCAGTTCATTTTCTTCTTATTCGTCTTGCGTAAACGGTGAAACTGTCTCTTTATCACTTCTCTCTTCCTCTTCGTGTCCTTCTGCTGACGTCTGCGTTCTAAAGAACGTACTGCTTTTTGTTTTCATTTTTAAAGAGAATAAAGTAAGTATTATTTTATCCTAGATTTTTTTTAATTAAATTGTGTGGGTGATTTTCATTTTTGATTTGATTTTGAAGGTTTTTAGGTTAGGAAAACGGACCTGTCTATCTTCAATGCGCTATCGCCCATCCACGGTATCAAATGCTTCCCCTGATCAATCATTTTCGCCTTCTCATCGTCTCGAAATAATTTGCAGCTGTATCCGAAGACTAGAAGCTCCTGGGGCTCCTCCTCGACATTTTTCTTACGTAGAATACCGGAATCAACGAGCCAACGTTGATTCTTCGACGCCATTTTAGTGAAGACTGATTGTGGTCTTCAAGGTTAGGTTGTTGGGGGGGGAGACAGGAGAAAATTGAAGCTGTGGCAGCACTTGCCTGCAGATGCGCTTAAGGTATGATACAGGGAGGTATGGTGAAGTTTTGATGTCGCCGACACCGAAACAGGGGACAAGTTCCAACGGAAGCCGCGCGCGGCGCTGTTGCGTCCCTTCCCCTCACGCGGATTAGATCTCCCACCACACGCCGATTTTACTTGCGTTGCGAGTTCAAATCCCCGTCAAATCAATTTTTTTTTTTTTTTCATGAGAGAGAAATAGTATATTTCGTAACGAGTGCAAAAAAGTGGTTTTTGGCGAGTGGGAGGTTTATAACACGAGCCGAAGGTGAGTGATATAATTTCACGAGCCAAAAACCACTTTTTTCACGAGTTACGAACAAAATTTTTCATCACAATGTGTCGGAAAGTTACTTCTCCGATACAGCGTGATGAAAATAAAATTTTGTGTTCAATCGAGAGGAACAGGATTAAAAAATGTTGAGATGAAAACTATATGATTCTCAGCAAATAGTTCTATGGGATCGAGCGATAAAGATTGACTGAGAGTCATGTCGACTAGACGATTGAAATACTAATTAGAAGGAAGAATAATTAACATCAGAAGTCCATTTTATTAATTATTCCTCTTCTCTTCAGTGAAGCTTAATGGGGAAGAATTTGGAGGGATGGGATTACGATAATGAGGATCCCAGTTTGAACTATGTTATTTAAAGTTTTCTTCTATGAACAAGTTTTGAAAAAGATACGAGGGTCATAATGGTCACGAGGGGTGAAATAAATGAGGTACAAGGGGTTTCAAGATCCAAAAAAAAAAAAAGTCCCAACTATTCACTTACGCACCTCACACAAACAACAATCGTTCTTTGACACTTGATCACTCGATAGCAAATCACCGCTTTTTTCCAGCCATTGTCGTCGCTTCTCAATTTTTTTCACACTGGGAAGGGAGAAAAAACGATAATTATCCTTGGAAGATGCTTTGCAATTTATGATTGCACACGATTTAATCATTTTACATGAATCAACTCGCGCAGACTGTTCAGATCTATTGGAGTACGTTTTGGAACAGACATAAACAAACAACATTCGCGAGATATTTTCGCGCGAAAAATAAATATTGTTCAACATTGGACAAAAATGCATTTTCATTTTATTTTCAATGCTATTATATTGAGCAGTGATTTCACTCTCAATCTTGGTAATTATTTTCAGTAAAAAAAGAAAGAATTCACCTATTATAAGATAAAAATCACCCCTTAATGAAAGGGTGAGCGGGCCATTGACTATTAAAGAAATAGTACATGAAAAACCAAGAATATATTTGCATTTTTTTATTTTTCTTCGCATTGTACATGTAATTTCATACGGGGCTAATTATTTTGACTTAAAATATCAATTTCATAACGTTCCCTCCAGCAAAAAAACTGCCAGTTGCGGGAGACTAAAGGAGATGAGGGGAAGCGTAAGTCGACCGGAACGCCGCTTCTGGCGCTCCGGCGAACTTGTCCCCTGTTTTCTGGCTTCATCATACCTTAGATGCGCTCTGGCGTCTGGCCACTGCCACTTTTGTAAACAAACCAGAGGGCCAAAAAGTTAGCAACAGTTACCGGTTTCCAACGAATTTTACTCATCCTTTGTTTTTCTTCATCAATTTGAGGCGTTGAGGAGGATTTTCGAAAAGTTTTTGAGAAACTCCAGGAATTGTATCAACAGACATCATGTTTGACATAGATGTTCAGAGGTTCCTGCAGGTCGTACAGACAAAGGGAGTTATGAGCGATGAGGATGTTGTTCGAGAAGTTGTTGCTATTTTTGGTAAATGAAGTTAATCATTTTTTTGACAATTTTTGAAAACAATTTTCAGAATCTTCGCCTATGAGAATAAGTTTCTTGCTGTTCGTTTTCAAACTCAACTTTTGGTCAAGTAATTGTTCAAATTATGCATGTGCAATTTTATATTTATGTTTCTTGGAAGAATTAACAAAGTTCGCAATCATTATGAAAGATTAGTTGACCTTTTTGGGGTTAAAATTGTAATTCTCATCAATTATTGCTTAATATTTTCCTCATCTTTCCAATGAGAGACTTCAGGAAAAGTTGTTGCCTTCCTTGAAACTGCAAAAATTGTTCAACAAAGGGGACTTTTGACGATTCCTCTTCATTTTTCTGATGACATACTTTGCCACCGACACATCTTGACGAAATGGCCTATTACACGCAATGGAGACTCTTCTTTTTTTACAGATATCATGGTTTGCATTGAGAGCGTGTCTGCAAAAATTATAGTTCCCACATTTAATCTACGGGATATCCATATAGAACTGTAAATTGAAATGTATTAATCCAATTGCAAGGTGAATTCCAAGCTTTCAACTTGTAACTTTTCAATTTTTTGTGTGCAACTCGACAGGTACAATTGAGGCATATGGAACTTCAGATAAAAACAATTTCGTGTTTTTCTTCAAGGCCCGAGTGGATTATCTTTCGAATGTGATTTTGGTTGTTTTTTTTATTTTGATAATATGAAATGATCTCCAATTGCTATTCAGTTTTACATAGCCCTGGAGTCTCCAAAAAGGATGATTGTACAATCAAAAAAACGTTTAAAAAAAAGCTGAACATTTTCAAAGAGCGTTTTTCAATAATATTGGGAAATAGACCCAATAGAGTGGAAATTGCGAATTAATAATTTGATGTATCTAACGGCTATTAGGTCGTCATTTGTCACAGTAGTCGATGACTGTCAGATCGTTAGTTACATGATAAATTATCCATTCATGATTTCCACTCTTCTCTATCGGACTTATTTCTTAATATTTATTAAAAACGCTCTTTGAAAATGTTCATTTTTTTCGACTTTTTTGGTTTGTACAATCATAATTTTTAGGGACTCTTGCGTGATCCATCCAATGGAAATTGTGATATATTTCACATTATGAAGATGGAAAAACAATCGAGATAACGTTCGAAAGATAATCCACCCGGGCCTTAATTGCACGTACTTGAATTATACATGTCAAATTACGCCCAATAAATTCGAATCCATGTCTTGTCAACTAGGCGACATTTCAACTGCGGAGTTTCAACTACACATTTCAACTAACATTTTTTCAACTTATAATATTTCAACTATGACATTTCAACTGCTTAAATTGAAGTACACGTCAGACGGATGAAATTCTTAGAAAATCTATCCCTAAATCTCTCAAAACGTCAACAATTCAAACAAAATATTCATGTGTTTATGAATTCACATACATATCTACGTTATCCAGTGAAAAACTTGAGAGGAGATAATCCATGCAAAATACAATTTAATCCATTCAGTTACTCGGAAAACAGCAAATCGTTCACACAATGTCTCTGACATTCATAGAGAGTTCCAGAGGAGCCAAATTATTATTAGACGAGCCTTTGAAAAAAAAACATGGAAAATATCTTTTAAATTTTTTTTATCGAATCGACTATTAATTCTAAATTATTCATCTCTTATATTTGTTAATAGAAAAACAAATTGAAGCTTTGTATGATATTAATTATTAATATATTAGTTCAGTAGTTGAATTGAGTTGGATTACGTTGTCTGTTGAAAAGCAATTCAACATATAAATTCAATATTTACAAATTTGGTTTGTACAGTGTGGAATACCCATTGCATAATGTAATTAGATTGGTACATTTCAATTTAATAGTGTTCAAGACGTACATCGTGTCATTGGAATGCTGGAATTTTAATTTATGTAGATATGGTTTTAATGAAAAACATTATATGTCATTATATGTCAGAGGAAAATGAAAAGACCGCATTGCGTGTGAGGCACAGTGATAGGGCGGTTTGCCGAAAAGTATAAAGTATGTCTCACTCCCAAGAAAGTACACTGATAGAAAAAATCTCTGACACGACAGAAGTGGTTTCTTGAGACAAGAGAATGGGGTTTTGACCATGAATCTCTTGATACAAGAGATTCTTAGTTTTACCTAATTGAAGTATATTCTGAGAGGAAGATGTGTGCCCTCAGGACCGATTTACTTGATTGGAAACCCTATCACCTCTGTCGAAAATCATGAAAAACAGAATTATCTATAGTGAAAAGTACGAATTCTTCACACAAGAGAATAGAAACTTCATCAGATTGATATTAAATGTAAGCAAGATTACTTTCCGCCAAGAGATTCTTGCCAGCGAGTCTGATCTAATATGGAAAGCATTATGATGCACGCGAAACTTCCTGCTCTTTCTGTCCAATATTTAATACTTTATGCCAAGTTCCCCTATTTCTTTGATCCAAAGTCATGAAGAATTCATTCAGTTAAAACGGCGCGAATGATGTAGTTTCTTGAGCCAAGAACTTGTACTCTACGTGTCAGAGATTTTTTCTATCAGTGTACTGCAATCCAGTAGTGAATCACGAGTAGAATCTGTGTTGATTTTCGATTTATTCCAATTAATTGAAGAATGCGCGATTTTGAGGAACAATAATATCTCTAGAAAATACGTAGAAATTTTTTCACAAAAGCACTCCACCAAAATGATTCCTGGACATTCACTAAATGATGCTTTATTCTCATTAAAATCCCCACAACTTTCTATTCGTCATTAAACGAATCAGCAGTATTGATTGATATACCAAGAGTAGAACGTGTAGTGTCCCAAGAAAAAATTCTCTTCAGTTTTATTATTGCTTCTGCTCAACTTTCTTTTTCAGGGGACAATACTACAAAAAGACAGATACAAATGATCAACAGAAGACTGGAACCATTCAACATGACGATCAAATCAACAAATTGCGAGCTTACTGGCAAGAACTACTGGGTCTTCACAGCTAATGTCATTGATAAGGTGATGACATATCCAGGGCAATTCACCGATGTGCAACTAGAGTTCATCAGAAAGGTTTTCAGCGAGATTATTAGTTCTGAGGAAGGATATGCTTCCACTATGACTTGCATCAATGTGAGATCACAGATGACTGGGAAATTCTCACCGACTGAGGCTGAGCAGATGCTGTATGAGATGGTCGAGCAGATGTGGTTGCATCACCAGGTAATTGTCATTTTATTTTCCTCCTTTCATGCCAATGAGGATGTTTCCATGGGAACTAATTATTATGAGAAAAAAATGCCAGTGGCTTTCCTTCTTCGCCCTCAAAATTGAAAAAATAATCAAGTTTATGGAGGGGACAGGGGGCAAACTGAGCTATTTTCACTCATCAATTACTCAAAATTGGTAGAGTGAAATTGAAATTGATTACGCTTCGCGCCCGTCGCTAGATTAATTTATACTATTTTATTTTATTTCGATTTTTATATAATTTTATATAATTTGATATAACTGATGTTAATAGATATTAAGGAGAGGAGGAGGACTACATAGGTGTAAAACAAAGAAAAACATTTGTAACACCAAAGAGATGAATAAATAAAAAAATAAAAATAAAATAAAATTTTATTTCGATTTCTGTCTTCACAATCAGATTAATTTAGTTTTATTCATTTTTATTTTTATTATATACATATTTTGCCCTTTAATTCATAAGTTACAACATTGAATGAAGAGGAATTATGTTAAAGATCAATAAAGTGTTGTTTTTGTGATCAAAACAAACAGACTAAGAAAAAATAATTCGAAATCTCACTCGGGTAATCGAAAAATCTCTCTATGTGTGTTCCTAAAAATGTTAAAAATATATTTTTCTCTTCATATGGTAAAAGAATATCGGTGATCCTCATTCCTATGGTCGGATTCTAATTATTATTATGAAAAGGAAATGAAAAAAGAATCAGAAAGGGATAATCGGCTAGGAAATTGTTTTTTTTTCTTCTTTTATGTCACTTTTATCACTTTTTTTCTTCAAGTATTAGAGGGATATCAATATTTTAGCGAGAAGAAATTCAAAAAATGCAAAAAAAGTGGGCGGGAAGGAATAAAAAAATTAATTTTTCAATGTGTCCGGAAAGTTTTAAGATCGTTTTTTTTCGAATAATGAAAGAATATCCATAAATTCGATTTCGAATCTTTGTCTTTTGATAGAATGAATAGAATTACATAAATGGTAATTAATTGCAAAAATCACGAATTGGAGACTGAAAATTTTTAAACAGGGATGATCGGCTAGAAAATGAAGAAAATTTGTTTTTCTTCATTTGTGACAATGGAAACTTACAATCACTGTTTTTTCTTCGGATACGGGCGGGTTATGAATATTTTGGAATTTTATGATCCAATTTCAACGAGAAGAAATGACAAAAATGCAAAAAAAGGTAGGCGGGGAGAAATAAAACATTAATTTTTCAATGTTTCCGGAAAGTTATCAAATCGATATATTTTTTCAAATAATGGAAGAATACCCATAAATTCTATTTCTATCCTTGCCTTTTGATAGAATCAATAGAATAAATGACAGAAATTGAGAATCGGAGACTCAAAACTTTATCGGATTATTATTATACAATAATTCTGAAGGTATTCTTTCAGGCTTTAAAATCAATTTGGTTTATCCAAATCGTATGATTGATATTGACCATTTCATGTGGTTCATTTACCTTACGTCCCCCTAATATTGAACATTCTTCATTGTTGTATTTTTATTTCAGGATGGAAAGGTTTATATCGGAGTCAGAAGTATTGGAGAGCTGATGCCATATTTCAAAGACTCTTATGCAGATGGTCTCAACGTTTGTTCAATGTGCAAGGATACGCTATTCCACGTAAGGATTGCAATTGATTCGACAACTTGTACAGTGCTAATTAACTTACAACACAAATATTAATTTTCTCTGGTTCAATTTCAGGGATACAGATGTGAGGAGTGTCAAACTGCGGTTCACTTGTACTGTCTTGCAAAAGCATTCAAATACCAGAAGAATCTTAAATGCTTGGGATGTGAAACTCCTGTGCAAGTGAAAAATTTACCAGGTAAATAAAAATTCAGCAGCAAAGTTGTAAAGTACAGGGGATGAGTCCAAAAAAGATGTGGAATTCATTAGACAAGACTTCATCCCTATCAAATTCCATCTTTCACTTTTTCTCAATTTTGCTTTTTATCTCTCATTTCCAACCTTGTTCGTATTAATTAAACTATATTAATTTATTCTCACAGAAATTGAAGACGATTCAATGGAAGTAGAAGAGGATGATGTTGGCCCCATTCAGCCTCAAAAAGCCCGGAAGTCCCACAAGAGAAGAGGATAAACATTCAAAAAACATTAATTAAAGCAAAAAACTCATTTCTCTTATCAAACTCTATTTCTCATTTTAATTTAATAATAAATAATTCAATATGTTCGTATCAACTCTTTTCATCTTTGTCAAACTTTTTCCTCAAAAACTTAAGTCCTTCAGAGATTTTGTCAAGGTTCAGATTACTTGGCAGAGTTGGTCGTGGTGGTGGTGGTGAATTTCCGGGCAGTGGAATGTTTGCGAGATCCCTCTCTCCCTTGATATCTCTCGGTGGTAGAGGCCCAATAGTCTCCAAGTCATCACTCTCTCCTGTTTCCTCCTCATCTCTCTCCTCCACAGCACTCCCATCATTCCATTGAGCACTACTTGCCCCCACATTACAAACATTAAAAGTAGATTGAAACGTTGGAGGAGGGACTGCCCTCAAGACTTCAATTGGGGGAATAATCGTCATTGATGAATCATTACTAGATGAATTGGGCATCAAATTTCCAAAGGTGAATGGAGGAATGCGAATGTTAATCAACGACGAGCTCTCAAAATTGATCAAATTTGGTGGTGGAACAGGTCCAATGACATCCGAGTCTGCAAACTCACTCTTCTCTTCGGAATCGTCAACATCCTCGGAACCTCTCAAAGGCCCCTGAGACTCCCACAAATCAGTAGGCTCGGGGCCTCCGCTCGTAATCCTCACAGGATCCTCATCATCATCGCCTTCAACAATTTGATTGTCTCTAGTTCTCCCCAAAAGACCACCAGGCTTGAAGTTGTCATAAACCGGAGCAAACTCTCCCATTCTATCTTTTCGCCTTTTATGGACCCACTCTTCTTGAGACAACTCCCTGAACTTTGGTCGTTTACCCAGGAGTTCTCCAAAAGCTTTGATTTTATCCTCGATGACACAGAGGGAATTTTCTTCATTTTTTTCGTCAATTTTAGAGGTTTCTTCTGGTTCTTTTGTCAGTTCAGGCGTTGCTGGAGATTGGGTTGGGGATTTTGGTGTTTGTTCTTCTTCATCTGGCTCAGCAGGAAGACCTGCGCGGATCCTCTGACGAATCCTCGCAGCTTTCAATCGATTTTTCTCCATCTGAGCTTTCAATTCCTTGAGGTTTTGAGCTTCTTTCTGTCGCTGTTCTGTTTCCCTCCGTAATTTTGAAAGATTCTCTTGTTGTTTCAATCTTTCATCTTCATCCTGAGAAAATGCGTAGTATCCAACGCCGTGTGCTCTGGCTTCATCGAAGAGAATGTCCTGATAATGAATGTCTGGCTTGTGGGACAATTTCTCAGTCTGTTCTTCCCATTTTTTACGTAACTTCTCTATCTCCGGTTCTTTCTGAGGAGGAATGAATGGTGGGAGGTTTGGAAGTGTCTCAGTAGCTTCAGGAGGATCTTTGCTGATCTCTTGCTTTATCATTTCATCTTTCTCCTGCATTTTTCGAAGGTCGCGCCGTAAACACTTTCTGGTTCTACCGAAACAGTCGCTGTACTCTACCCAATCATCTTCAGGATCTGAATTTCTATCCTCGTAGTCTTCTTCATTGTGGATTTCATCTTCTGAAGAGGATGGGGGAGAGGGTGGCTTATTGGAGAAGTCTACTAGGTAATTGTGGCATTTATCCCCGTGGTTTTTCTTTAGTTTTTCGTAGAGCTTGGATTTTGCTTCTAGCATGTACCTGGATTTCTTCAGCTCGTTGACATCCTCGATTTTTGTAACTTTTGACTCCTTCGTCTCCAATGATTGACTGGCTGTTGAGTTAACATTCTTTGATGTTTTACTTTTTAACCTGGTTTTTGGGATTATGGGAGGTTGTATTTTATTTTTGGCTTTTGCTTCCTCGACTTCTGCCTGTTTCCTCAGGAGTTCCGCTTTCAAACCGACGAGAGAAGAGTAACTGACGTTGATCTTTTTCGAATTGTTCATCGTTTATGTGTGTTATAAACGTTGAAATGTCAATAGATGTATACTGATGTATACTAGCACGTTTAGGTTATAAAAGTATCCTCTCTGGGCGCTCTGGGCTGAAGAAAACGAAGGGTGGGGAGGATTGTGATCAGCTAATTCTCTCGTCTCTAATTGTGAACGGGCAACTAGGGATGGCCGATATTTGACGATTAATCGATATTTTTCATTCGATGTATTCAGCGGCCGATCAATCGATTTTCGATACTTTTTTTCAAACATCGATGTTTCTATTGATATGACCTTAGCCGACAAGTGCTTGTTTATTAACAAAATAATTAATCAGGTCGTTTGTACTTGGTTTGTACATGATTGTTCCATACTTCAAATTGTTTGTTCTTTATTTAATTATTTATTAATAAATAAATAAAAAATGGTCCATGCATTTGGCCGACACACATAAAAAAATATTTTTTCCGATATTTTTGGGATTGTACGGATTAAAAATTGTTTGTTCTTTCATTATTTGTCTATTTTATTGTTTGTTCTTGATTCTTTTTGGGATATTTATTGAAATTACATTATCGGAATTTTGAATCGTAAACCATGGGTGAAATGCAAGATGGCGGGCAGTCATAGATCCCCTGAGTCCACGCACATATTCTGCTCCTCTACATTTCATTATTACTAAGTATTACTAATGATGAAGCAAATAATATAATTGTTTTTCATATGATATCGTCGGAAACCGCTTAACAAGTGTTATGGTGATTGGAAGTGTATGGTGCAGTCATAACCGATAGGATACGTCCGTTATAACCTCAAATATATATACAACAATTCGGAGCAATGCACCATAATTACAATTCTATCAAGTTCTTTAGAACTAAGTGATTCCGTCTCTACTCATAATAATGCATGGAGAACGAAAATCTCAACAAATGCAGCTTAATTGGAATCAGCAGAACAGGATTTCAACAGTAATGTTCTGTACCATTGAGGTGAGTTATGATGAGTTATTCTCCCTTGGAGAGGAGTCTTTCCATAGTATCCCTCTCTCGATATCCCTCACGGACCTTATTAGCTATCATAATTGATTTTCTTCTGATCCCATCGTGCCTTCAATCAATACAACCTAGAACAAACTCCTCTCACAGATATCATCGGTCTCCATTTCTCCTTCAGAGGGATGGGGAAAATTGACGCTATGGATCCTTTACTTTGTTACATAATAAACCACACTACTTAGAACTCGTCAATCTCCACTCAGACTTTATAGGCAGTAATTTAAATCTCAGGGTTTCTTTATATCATTCAGCTTGCAGAGAATTTTTGGTCAATGAGCCAAAAACGACACACCAGACACTGAATCTATCCTCATCCAAAACTAATCACCCACAACGATTGAAGATGTGGTTTTAATGAACGCCTTCATAGTATTATACTCCACGGAAGTGTAGAAACAATGTATCAAGTTGGCGACAATTTCTTGATTACATCTCCAGAACCTGGCAACGATGATTCTGAACCACGAGAGAGGGACATTTCTGGATACGTCATGTCTCATACGCACTTATTTTCAAAATACTATCATCACTAATAAAAAATGAGAGAATTCAGACTCAAGTGTTGTCTTGAAACTTAGCAATATCATGCGCATTTGTACAGATCAGGTGAGCAATTTCACCTAGTCACCTAGAAACGAATTCTAGTCAATTAACTGAACTGAAACTCTCTATTTTCAAAAAATTCATTTGATAAAAATTTTATACAGCAAAAATTAAAGTTTCATGAAGATTTTTATCAATGCGGTCGACAATGATTGCATCAGCAATTCAAGGATTTATAATCGCAACGTCAACGGAAGAAATTAATTCAATTTTTTTTTTACTATACAATACAAATTTTTAATATTTTTCAAATAGGGAATATACCTTTGATTGAAATCGTGAAGAATTCAGATCATTCATTTCCTTCCATTCCGATGAAGAGAAAATGGATCATCAACGAGTTCAAACAATAGAAAAATTGAAAAACCAAAAATTATGAAGATTTCAATAGGAAAATTTATTATCTCACAGATTTACCTTTTTAAAGCCCAAATGACCTCCTCTAATATAAACATCTCCAAAAAAAGAGGGAAAAAAGAAAGGAATAATTTACTATCCCTGAATTTGGTTTCTTTCGTTAATTAATTGTTTCACCGAGTTATCTTTTTCTTGCATCATTGAATACGTTTATTTTCTTCTGATTAATTTTGTATTCTGTTATGCTATTGTCATCCAATCAAATCACCTAATTATCATCAGGCTCATAGATGTGCCACATTAATCGATAACAATTTAGGGTAAATTTTCTGAAAAATAGAAAAAAAATGAGAAAAAGATGTCAATTATTGTTCGTTCTGGTTTTCTTCAATAAAAAAATTATCTGAAGGAAAGATACGAAGTTTATAACTTGAAAAAGTAGGATGATAATTAATTTAGTGAGAATAAACACGAACACCAACGACACAAGCAATTATTAAGAGTATTTTTTTAACACAAACATGTTGTTTGCTTTTTTTACTAGTGAGCCAAAGTGGAGTCAAATACCCATCATGACCTAAGAAAAGGGACAATAAGATGCTGTCATCTAAGTAGGAAAACATGAACGTTTTGATCAGACGACATCCCTATCAGAATTACACTTTAGTGATCACAGGTATTTATGCATATAATAATCAATTACTTGATCCTTTTATCAAATTATCCAGGATATAAGAACAAGAATTAATCCGTTTTCAGATATTGGAGCCTCTACGCAGTGCCTGTGCCCAGCAGAGGATTTTGGAAATCATAACCATGTGCAAATTCAGTTTTCTTCCATAATGGGTGTATTAAAAAATTTTGTAATCCAAAAATGATAGAGATTGACTCATTAAAAATCAATTACAATAATTATTTGAATGTCTATTGGATTAATGGCATAACTCTCTAGTATCAATACAACGAAATTCTCTCGACTTGCCATTTGCAATCAGTGGATTATTTAATCTTAGATTACATTGAGAAGCGGAAGAATGCCCTATTTTCAATTGAAAATTAATCTTTATCCAATTAAGCGTTTTTCTGAGAAGGGAATTTTCGGGTGCTTCATATTTCATCTTCGAGATTATCAGGATGGTATTAAAATTTCATTAACAATTGATAATTGTATTTAATTGCGAATATTGGTCTCTGAATGAAAAAAGGAACGAGCCGGGATTCAAGTCTTTTCGGCAGAAAGCATCTGATAGCTAATTTGTGAAATATGAATAGTTTCGTTTCCAGAAAATATATATGGATATTTGAATATCTCGCAACCAGTTTATCTGATTGAGATTCTTCTCAATGGTCAACATTTTAGTGCCAGAAAAAATATTCTACAGGGCACTCAAATTATTAGACAACCATTCCCAGGAGAAATTGAAAATTGGGAAAATGGAACAATTCTGATTATCCTATTCCAAAGTAAAATTACTCAAATCACACTGTTGTGTTAGAATTTCATTCATCTATTCATTGAATTTTCAAGTTCTGCATTGGTATATGTCACATCCGACACGAGAATAGTAACTTCATTTGTTATTTTCATATTGCCGCCGAAAATGTGGAGAAACAAAGACACATCACGATCATTATAACCATGGATAATTTGTGAAAAATGACTGGTGTTGGCAGATTCCATCTAACAGGGCCGTGATATTTTTCATTGTTAGCAATTAACAGATTTTATTTCGAGTGAGTAAAATTGTTCGGGACAATAATGTCTGATCTCAGCGTTAATGAATCCGTGTTGTTATTTTGTTTTACAATTTTCTTGGACCATTTGCTGCAGGTTTCTTCTGTTTATCCATCGAAATGCCTCCTGTCTGCAAAGTGCCTCGAGAGACAGCGATAGATTTACTCGTAGAACACGGCAACAAATTCAGTGGTAATAAACCGCCTCCACACAATGACAATATTTGGGAAATATTGTCCTTAAGGACAAAGCGTTTGTGGTCTGCCCAGAGTTAGCGAGTAAACGTCAGGGAGAACAGGAGAGGAATTGTATATGAAGCGAGGGTGAGATTACATCTTCAACAGACTAATTTTCTCCCAGAAGAGATCCCACTTGCAGACTCAGAAGAAAATGACAGCGGCGACTCTGACCATCAAGAAGATGAATGTCAGGACACTGATCCAGAAGAGGATTATGATGCAGTGTGGTTTGATGTAATACTGAGTGCNATCCTTTGGACGTTGATGAATTTTTGAAAATTCTCCAACCACCAGATAATAAACCCATTCTTCCAGATGTTGACCTTGGCGAAGAGACCCAAGACCAATCTGAGTTTTTCATGGAACTGAAGAGTGAAGCTGAAGAAATCATTTGTAAAGGTACATGTTCTAATTTTTATCGTCTACCAGAATTTGGGATCAAACTATTGCAGTATGCAAGAATATTTACTTTGTGGACTTCAGTATGTCTGCCGTATTATGCAGAGCATGCCACCAGCAGTTACAGTGAGCATGGATTTCGTGAAATAAAGCGAGAGATGTGCAAGAAATATACACTGCCTCAAGATGTTGATAATTTTCTTAGGATCCATCTTCGTTTTTTGATTGGAGGAAGTAGAGACTTTTCTGGAGAACTTCTGGACTTTCGAGCTCAAGGTAAGAAAATTCTTCTGCCAAAAATGAAAAATATTGGTGGAAAAACCACGACATCTAATGCACGCCAAACCGATCCCAATGATTCTGATGCACGAGCTGAGGAGAATTGGCGTAACAAAGGAACAAGTCATATTCGATTCAAATATCCTGATTTGGAAACTACAGAGCAGTCGGTGGAGGCACTTGATTCTTCAGCACAAGGAGGTACTAATGAATTTGACGAATCTCATCCTGATTCACGTGTTGACATTGAAAATATGAATACATTTACCTCATCTAGTCTGCTAAAGTCGCCTTTGCCATGGTCCGAGTCGCTGATTTACGATCTAGGAATTTCTAGCACTCCATCCTCTACCATCACACGTCCAATTGATCCAAATCTAAGTGAAACCATAATGCGACCAGGTGCTGTTGAAAAATCCTCTCAATCAAAATTTCCCAGTTGCCATTCACTGAACAGTCCAAATGAGACACGTCACAGGATCTTATGAGCCCACGACAACTAAAAAACACTCTAATCGATTGCATATACCAATGTCAACGACTCCAACATCCTCCGTATCTGTGGATAAGGATCCAGAATTTTTTATACCTGAAACACCATCTCCCATCTTAGTAGAGTCAGAAGTTCGAAGACGTGAAAGAAATTCGACATATGCACGAAAGAAAAAACCGTCCAATTCGAAATTTTTCCAGTCATGTCCTGAAGCCGTTGTGGATCCCACTGAGAATAAGGAGAGTCGTTCCCAACAATTGCGTTCAAACACTGGAAGCAAGCGGCGGAATTATCTATTGAGGAATGCAGTGCAATGTGGGACTTAAAAGATCGATGGTAAAATGTATTTTATGAGAAGAACCTGTGCGTTTGATTCTCTTGCCTCTATTCTCTTGACAGCAGCCTTGGATGACCGTAATTATTACCTTTTTCTCGAGCAAGCTGAAAATAGTTTTTCATCATTTTTCCTGAAGTTCGTAGAGACAGGAGTGACAACAGAATTGTACAAAGAGCGATTTCTCTTACTGAAACCGCTATATGAAAGTACCGAATCTGTGACTAGCATCCAAAATCTGGCCTTCGTGACTTCATACGATGCTACTGATAACTCGACGGATCTTTGGACGAAATTATTTGAGGCTCATCCCAGTACTTTTCATACCTCTGTGTGTGAAATTTGTAATGGCGATGGTGAGCATAATTACACGATTCAAATTGATCATGCAGTTATCCCGCAACATGGCTTCAAGGCTCTTCAGAAAGCACTAGACTTCCATCCGGTTATTTACAACAAGCCGTGTATATGTGGATTCCAATGTACAGAAACATCAGTGGGGAATAACCACATTTTCGTAGAACTTGGAACGAGGACTCATTACGATGCACCTCCATTAAGGACTCGCTTGAATAATTTTCCAGTAGAATTGACATTAGATTGCAAGTACAGGTAAATTTTCGTTTTCTTGACATTCTGTGAAGTTTACCATTGCGTACATCCGTAGCCCCTGGATTTTCAAGAATCATTAATATTTGCTAGTGCTTTAGAAAAATGACCGAGATATTCTTAGTTTCTACTTTATTTTTCTAGAAATCTCCTTAAATAAGATGAAGATATAAAATTTTTAGAAGAACTTTATTGGTCGCTATTGTTTTTCATTACTTAACAGGTTTCTATACAAGTTTCACTTTCATCATCTGAATTTGAGCTTTTGAGATAGGTTGAAAATTGATTTTGGTCCACCACTCCTATTCAATTGTATGTTACAGATGTTTTAGAAAGATTTTTCAAAATTGTCCCTTACCTCCTTCTGTATTTTTATTTATTAATTTTTCAGACTCGTTGGTGTGATCAACGAACAGGAAGATCACTTCACTAGCTACTGTCGTCGAGCCTCAGGATATTGGCAGGAATACGACGACGTACGATCTCTTATCCGTCAGTGTAAACCTGAAGAAGAAATTCACCCCATTGGTGAAATTTATATTAAGAAGATACCCGCGAATATGAACACAGACAAATAATAATGCTATAAGTATTACAATTTATATCTCTAGCAATATTAAAATTGAAAATACAAATTTTCTCAAAGAAAAAATAAAAACCAAACCAATAAAACCAAAGAAAAGTGAGCAAAATATGAGAATGAAGACAAAAATTATTTGATAAAAATTTGGTAAATGTTTATTAACATAATTCAATGAAAGTAATACAGAATTCAAAGTGATTTTTTCAGTTGCTTCTAATTAATTCCTCAATTACCAAATTACTTAATTACCAAATTACCAAAAATGTCACGCAATAAGAATGACAAAATTAAAATAATAAATTGAGGAATTGATGAACGAAATGAACATTAGATTTCTTAAAACTTATGAATGACTCCAATAAAATAAGCAAATAAATCAATAAAATAATTCGAAATGTTTTCTTTGATTTTTGACAACGAATTTTAATTTTGTCTCGACTACTCCACTAGCTTGTTTAGTCGACTTTCCGATTAGATCGCATCTCTGAGGAACCAATGTCTTTAACCAATATACATCGTCTGAGTTTCGTTTGTTGTCCTTATAGGCGGTCCGTCCTTCTGGATTGAAACGAAGAAACAAGTGACAACGAGCCATGTATTCGTGCTCCAGGTCTCGTAGCTTCTGTTCATTTTGATGAAGCATGTACTCCTTCTTATATTCCTGCATCGAAGGGAAATTAGTTCGATAATTAGCACTTGAATAAATTATTGATTTGAATATTTATCATCTGGAAATTTTTATAATTTCCTATAAAAACGCAACAATTGCGAGAAAAATTTAAATTTTTGACGTTTCGGGAACAAATGAAATACATTGCAACTTTGAGACGAAGTAAACGCAGATTTTGAGTCCGAAATCGGATTTTTTTCAAATTTTATACTGAGATTTTGAGGATTTTCTTGTAGATAAAAAAACAAAATAGAAAAATGAAGGGTTTGGAGGAGTTAAGGATTGTCAGCACATTTGTAAATCTACTCAGTTTGCCAGAAAATTAAAGCAAAATGGAATCGATTATAAACAAAAAAATATCTTCCATTTTCCAATTCCAGAAAAAAGCAAATTAAACTGTTTTTTTTTCTGTGAAAATATATTGACAATGTAAAAAACAAATCATGTACCCATTCATCCTTGAACCAGGAGATGCTTTCAGACGTAGCAATAAACCAATAGTTTCCATGGCGTCTCCCTTCATGATTTCCAGATTATGAAGGCACATTTTGTCATCCATGATGATTTCATTGCTAAGCGTGTCTCCCAGCCTTAACAGCATTCTCAGATGATTGTTGAGCACTGCCACTTAAATTATTTTATCACTTCAACCAGAAAAGTACAATCTGAAACCCGAAAAAAATCAAATAGAGCCTCTCACAATCAATACTTACATTTCAATAATAAACTAATTTTACTGATAAAAAATTGCTATGAACAACAAATAAATAGAGAAGAACAAATTCCCTAGGCAACAGTAGCTAAGTCAGCTCTACCCACGACACAATAATTGACATCTTTTTCTCATTTTTTTTTCTATTTTTCAGAAAATTTACCCTAAATTGTTATCGATTAATGTGGCACATCTATGAGCCTGATGATAATTAGGTGATTTGATTGGATGACAATAGCATAACAGAATACAAAATTAATCAGAAGAAAATAAACGTATTCAATGATGCAAGAAAAAGATAACTCGGTGAAACAATTAATTAACGAAAGAAACCAAATTCAGGGATAGTAAATTATTCCTTTCTTTTTTCCCTCTTTTTTTGGAGATGTTTATATTAGAGGAGGTCATTTGGGCTTTAAAAAGGTAAATCTGTGAGATAATAAATTTTCCTATTGAAATCTTCATAATTTTTGGTTTTTCAATTTTTCTATTGTTTGAACTCGTTGATGATCCATTTTCTCTTCATCGGAATGGAAGGAAATGAATGATCTGAATTCTTCACGATTTCAATCAAAGGTATATTCCCTATTTGAAAAATATTAAAAATTTGTATTGTATAGTAAAAAAAAAATTGAATTAATTTCTTCCGTTGACGTTGCGATTATAAATCCTTGAATTGCTGATGCAATCATTGTCGACCGCATTGATAAAAATCTTCATGAAACTTTAATTTTTGCTGTATAAAATTTTTATCAAATGAATTTTTTGAAAATAGAGAGTTTCAGTTCAGTTAATTGACTAGAATTCGTTTCTAGGTGACTAGGTGAAATTGCTCACCTGATCTGTACAAATGCGCATGATATTGCTAAGTTTCAAGACAACACTTGAGTCTGAATTCTCTCATTTTTTATTAGTGATGATAGTATTTTGAAAATAAGTGCGTATGAGACATGACGTATCCAGAAATGTCCCTCTCTCGTGGTTCAGAATCATCGTTGCCAGGTTCTGGAGATGTAATCAAGAAATTGTCGCCAACTTGATACATTGTTTCTACACTTCCGTGGAGTATAATACTATGAAGGCCTTCATTAAAACCACATCTTCAATCGTTGTGGGTGATTAGTTTTGGATGAGGATAGATCCAGTGTCTGGTGTGTCGTTTTTGGCTCATTGACCAAAAATTCTCTGCAAGCTGAATGATATAAAGAAACCCTGAGATTTAAATTACTGCCTATAAAGTCTGAGTGGAGATTGACGAGTTCTAAGTAGTGTGGTTTATTATGTAACAAAGTAAAGGATCCATAGCGTCAATTTTCCCCATCCCTCTGAAGGAGAAATGGAGACCGATGATATCTGTGAGAGGAGTTTGTTCTAGGTTGTATTGATTGAAGGCACGATGGGATCAGAAGAAAATCAATTATGATAGCTAATAAGGTCCGTGAGGGATATCGAGAGAGGGATACTATGGAAAGACTCCTCTCCAAGGGAGAATAACTCATCATAACTCACCTCAATGGTACAGAACATTACTGTTGAAATCCTGTTCTGCTGATTCCAATTAAGCTGCATTTGTTGAGATTTTCGTTCTCCATGCATTATTATGAGTAGAGACGGAATCACTTAGTTCTAAAGAACTTGATAGAATTGTAATTATGGTGCATTGCTCCGAATTGTTGTATATATATTTGAGGTTATAACGGACGTATCCTATCGGTTATGACTGCACCATACACTTCCAATCACCATAACACTTGTTAAGCGGTTTCCGACGATATCATATGAAAAACAATTATATTATTTGCTTCATCATTAGTAATACTTAGTAATAATGAAATGTAGAGGAGCAGAATATGTGCGTGGACTCAGGGGATCTATGACTGCCCGCCATCTTGCATTTCACCCATGGTTTACGATTCAAAATTCCGATAATGTAATTTCAATAAATATCCCAAAAAGAATCAAGAACAAACAATAAAATAGACAAATAATGAAAGAACAAACAATTTTTAATCCGTACAATCCCAAAAATATCGGAAAAAATATTTTTTTATGTGTGTCGGCCAAATGCATGGACCATTTTTTATTTATTTATTAATAAATAATTAAATAAAGAACAAACAATTTGAAGTATGGAACAATCATATACAAACCAAGTACAAACGACCTGATTAATTATTTTGTTAATAAACAAGCACTTGTTGGCTAAGGTCATATCAATGATGTTTCTGATCAAAATAACAAAGTTCTTTTTTTTCAAATTTAAATTTTTAACAATTATGGCAGGTAACGGCCAGCCAGGGAAAATAGTCAATATTTCTTTCAATTAATCAACAACCCTGTTGTGAGATTGAAAACTTGACTTACTGCTAAGTACTAATAAGTACTTACTTATCATTGAAATGTAAGTTCCTCGGGTTGTATTTTTTAAATATAGGGAAGGTTGGGATAAAATGGACACTTTTGACTTTTTCTCAAATATTAATAACAGCTTGAAATGTTGATGAAATGCAATGCAAAGAACATTTCTTTCCCCTTGTAATGAGCCTAAACTGAGCTCAATTGATGAATTTGTTTCTGAGTTATGAGTAATTTAAAAAAAGTCCAAAGTGTCCATTTTACCCCATCCTCCCCTATATTTTTCAATAAAAACGAGAAAAAGAAAAATTATTTTTAAAAATGTGTTTTTTTTTCCTGTGTAACAAGAAAAACATCGATTTTTCAACTAATCGATGTTTTTGCCAGAAAAATCGATTCACAACATCGATGTTTTTTAAAACATCGATACAACGAAGAGCCGATTGAGAGCGGTACTTCAGGTGAGATCCACGTTTACCTTGCGGGATCAAAGAATGATAAGTCCCGTTGGTCCCGTTAGAATCTCTCTCAACATGCTTCAGACTGAAAGAGGTAAAAAGAGGCGGCCAGTGGAATGTAATTTTCCGTATCAAAAAGTCTAGGAAGCTTATCAATTAAGTACGATAACCGATAAGTATTGCCGTTTTTTTCTCATGGACTTGTGACATTAATTGTTATCATGAGTCCAAAAACTCAGCAATCTAAAGTGACTCAACGGCCGAATGGGGAATCCAGCGATGCAAATACGTGAGTGTTAATAAGAAAAATTAATCAATTAAATATTAAAAATTAAAAAATATTAAATTTCAATCAACTGTGTTGCTTTGTTCTTCAGTAATTGGTGGCTACAGTTCATGGGAATTCTTGTCCTCACTGCTGCTACAAGGTTTTACAAAGTGTCAGAGCCTGAACATGTTTGGTAAGAAATCCAAATTATGGCAAATCTATTCAAGCAAATGGATTTAGTGATCCAACTTTCAAATGATCCTGTCTGAGTCCATAAAATGACCTTCAGAAAAGGCTTTTTGGAAAAGGTATTTTTCTATAAATATGGAAGGTATTTGTCAACCAATCGACTACTCTATTTTGTAACATCTATCTCGTGTTCTTGACTTCACTATTGATTTTAACAGGTCAAACAAGTTTGGTTTGGATCAAAGAAATCGCAATTTAAAAATTACCAAAAAATAAATTGTTTCATTTAAATTTTAAAGCTCAAATATGAATAATCGATCTGTTTTCAATGACGACGAAATATTTTTAAAGCGTTTTTTTTTTTAAACTATATTAGTTTATACTATTTTAGTTTATTTTATTTTCTTTCCATTTGCGTCTTCACAATTAGCTTAATTCAATTTTATTCATCATCAAAACAAACACAAAACAAAAGTCATTCGAAATCTCATTCGGGTAATAGAAAAATCTCTCCCATGTATTCCCGAAAATTTTCAAAATCTATTTGTCCCTTCATATGGTAAAAAGATATTGGTACGTACTCCTCATTCCTATGGTTGAATTCCAATTATTATTATGAAATAGAAATGAAAAAAGAATCAGAAAGGGATAATCGGCTAGAAAATTTTTTTTTTCTTCGTTTATGTCGGCGGAAATTTCGAATCACTTTTTTTCTCCAAATATTAGAGGGATATAAATATTTAAGCGAGAAAAAAATCATAAAATGCGAAGAAAGTGGACGGACAGATCTAAAAAAATCAATTTTTCAATGTCCCCGGAAAGTTTTAAAATTGATTTTTGTCTGAATAATGGAAGAATACCCATAAATTCGATTTCTATCATTGTCTTCTGATAGAATAAATAGAATAAATGACAGAAATTGAGAATTGGAGACTAAAAATTTTATGCGATTATTATTATGTAATATTTAAGAAGAAATTATCTTCCCTCTCAGTGTAGAATTCGGTTTATTTATCGGTAGGATAAACGTGTTATTTTATTGAAATTTAATTCATATTTATTCTGAAAGGATAGGTAGGAATTGTTAGGAAATGATTATAAACTTGGATAAAAAATCCGTCGTGGTCAACTGCACTTGTGAATTCGGTTCATATAATAATTAACCGTGTCACTTTTCAATGCCGGTCACTTGCATTATACGTCAATAAATTATTACTTAATAGTTTTTTTAAATTAATTTATCAACCTACAGTGAGTTATTTACAAACGTTCGGATGAATAGTGCATGTCAGTTTGGCTTTGCCTGTTGTCTTTTTTGGATACAATAATGATTTAGTATTCTAGATTCTAATCTTGTTAGGGTAAACAGGTCAATTTCTGGACGATTTCAACTGGCATTGAATATGCCATAAATAAAATGAAAATTGTATTGATTATTTCACCTTTCAATAATATTACTCGTGTATAATCATGTGATCAATCATTTTTTTCTATTGATCAACATTTAATAAATAAACAAAATATGGCCCAGTCGTCCAGATATTAGGGGTTTCGGCTGCATTCAACTATTTCGTAATATAATTATTCTTTGTTTTGTTATTTTCACTTCAAACCATTTTTTTTCTGCTAATTAAAACATTCTTGAAGGTATGGATGGCATCATATTCCCATTTAAGTGATTCTTTTATTTTAGATCCTACCAAGAAAGTCGCATTTTCCTTAACCGTCCAGCAATAGACCTTTTCATCTCGAGAGTCACTAGATTTTCGAACACTTTTTTACAATGTTAATTCCCCTAGGAGTTTCGAACACTTTTCGTTTCGGACGAATTTACGTATAAATCCTCATTTTCGAGGGCTCAATGATCTATCATCGTAAATGTAAATATTTATCAGAATTTTCACTATTTTCCTGGAGATTTTTTAGTTTGACCAACGGAATAAATATTTTGATAAATGCATGTACAAGTTTAATTGATTCTAGCCTTTTGGGAATATTACTTGATAATATTAAATAATTTTGGGTTATAACATTTCATTTCAGCTGGGATGAAACCCATTTTGGGAAGATGGGAAGTTGGTACATAAATCGAACTTTCTTCTTCGACGTACATCCACCCCTTGGCAAGATGCTTATAGCTCTATCAGGGTATCTGACAGGCTACGACGGCAGATTTCCATTTGAAAAGCCAGGAGATAAATTTGAGGATACTAAGTATCTCGGTATGAGAATATTCTGCACGTTCTTGGGTGCTACAATAGTACCACTTGCCTATTTGATTGTCTGGGACCTTACAAAATCTACAAGGGCATCTGTACTCTCAGCAATGTTCATCCTTCTCGACGTTGGATTATTAACATTAAATAGGTACATTCTCCTGGATCCAATTCTTCTCTGCTTCATGATGTGTGCGACTTGGGGGATGGCGAGAGTCGGTGCTCACAGGGATCGAGCGTTCACTAGGCCCTGGTGGGGCTGGCTGATCTTCACTGGAGTCTCTCTCGCTTGCACCATTAGCGTAAAATTCGTGGGACTTTTTGTGGTTCTCCTCGTTGGTCTTTTCACCATTTATGAACTGTGGAGGGAACTTGGAGACTTATCGAAACCTGTTATCAACGTTGGGAAACATTTAATCGCCAGGGCTGTTTGTCTGATTGTACTACCGATTATTCTGTACATGGTGTTCTTCTATATTCATCTGACAGTGTTGAATAAAAGGTGAGAATGAAAAATAAGTTGATATCTCGATTTTTGCACAAGCTAGCGTGATTACAAAGTTTTTTTATGGAACAGCAGAACAACGGGAATTTCTCGAAAACTTTGTATGAACGGGTAGATATTTTTTTTTTGATTGATTTAGATAGAAAGCATAGAAACGAATATTTCGAAAAAAAAGGTGAAATCGGTTGCGTAGTTGTGAAGATATTGCATATAAAAGGTTTTCTCAAAAAGTCGAATATTTCCGAAACTACTGATGCGATTGAACCCATCTTCATTACGAATCGTTGTTATCATGAGAGAAAGATTCTGTTCAAATTTCAAGTTGATATCTCGATTTTTACACAAGCTAGAGTGACTACAAAGTTTTTTTATGAAAAAAAAACCCGAAAACAGGAATATCCCGAAAACTTTGTATGAACGGGTGTATATATTTTGATTGATTTAGATAGAAGGCATCGAAACGAATATTTTGATAACGAAACGGATCCTAAATTTTGCACAGAGTTAGTCTTCATTAACACTTATAATCTGACAAAATTTTAGATTTTGAGAATTACTTTAATTACTTTATGTCGCGCCGTGCAATAAGTCGAGTTTATCGCACGCTGCGCTTTGCGCAGCCTGCTCGAAACTCGACTTCTGCACGACTTGACATAAAATATTATAGAGCACTCGGTAATAGTATATTGTGTCATCAGGACCGTAGACGGAGGTTTGCGATGAGTGCTGCTAACTCACACGAATCGCAAACCGACGTCACGGTCCGTATGACACATACTATTTTTTGTCATGAAGGCCCGTTGAAGGTGAGGGGGAGGGGAAGGGGAGGGGGCGCAGAAGCGGGGTCCAGGGGCCGCAGGCCCCGGGGGGGGGGGGTGGGGGGGGCGAAGCCCCCCCCACTGTAGAAAAACGAAATGACAAGTGAAGAGAAAATATTGAAGAAAAAGAGATGCAAAATCCTAAATTGAGATTCGAAAGAACGAATGCAAAAGTTGTAATTCACGGAGTCTGTCAAAAACATTCAAAAAACATCTAGATGAGAATGGAAATCTTCCTCCTCCTGAAATGGAAATTGCAACAAATTGAAAGAATAAAAAGAAGGATTAATCATTTTTCTAAATTTATTCTCATGAGAAAATCAACGTGTGAACATCTACAGTTTACAACTTTTCTTTTTCATCGTTCCTCTTCTTCTCACAACATACTCAAATTTTTCATCACATTTTAATAGAAATATATATATAATCTATTCAAAATAGATATATAACGAGAAAGTGAATATAATCTCTTTATTAAACTAATATTTTGACAATATAACCCTCAAGTTACGACTGACTCCCTAGCAACGGAATAACAACTCCTGATGTCATCGGCAATGACGGTGGCGCATCGTATTAGTGGTGAACGATCCGCCGAGTTTTCAAGCAAGTGACAGCGATAACCGCACACTTCATGTTGTATTCCTACGAAGGTTTTGTGGGTTGCCCATCTAGAAACTGTATGTTTTTATTGTCCAAGGGCTGCTAACTCGAGTTAACCATACCTGTGCTTCGTTTAACAGACCTGGTCTGTTAAACGCCATTTAGCTTCCCTCAAGACAGCTATAGTAGGCGCTACCTAACGGGCCTGAATGACGAAAACGAAATTTGTGCCCTTGTACTCTAATGTACTATAAGGCCCTGGTCTATTATCTGTTGAACGTTATCTAAATTGATTTTTTTCGTTCGATTTTTATCTCGACATTTCAACTCGATGCCCCGTCACTCAGGGACACCCAAAAATTCTGAATATAGATTGCTAAGAAAGTAAAAACAATTCTGAACATTTTGAAAGAGCGTTTTTTATTAATATTGAGGAATTGTTTCAATAGAGGAGACAGGAATAATGTGTAATTATCGTGACAAATGGTGGTCTGTCAATCGCCACCAGGGGGAGGAAAAACGACATAATAAATCCTTTGGCACACCGCAATAAGCCGATTGTACAAAAAAAGGCTCTTTGAAAAAATTTGAAACATTTTTAAGAATTTTTTGATCACACTTTTACGATGAATTACTAATCACTTACGCCAATCTCCTGGATTGATAATTGTACTGGCTATCAGCTGTCACTTTTATCGGGAATTGAAAACATAGGAATTTTACAATTTTCCATTGAGACGATTGGTGTAAGTGATTAGTTACACCAATCAGTTCATCGTAAAAATGTGATGAAAAAATTCTTTAAAATATTGAAAAAGTCTTTTTTGTCGTGGATAACAATTCCGAGACCCGTTTAAGATGTTATTTGGAGTGGGAAATAATCCAAATGATTATTGTAAACACACTCAAAACTAGATAAATTCATTAGAAAAAAATTTTTCCTAAAAAAAATTTTGACGTTTTTCTTCACTGGTTCCGAAAATATCCGCTGAATAATCAGCAAGCCCCTTTCTTGTCAACTAATTTCCCGTTCGTTAACATTACAACAATTTCATAATAGGGAACTTGCACGAAACTCAATCCTTTTTAATTCCCCTATTCACACATTCCTCGTAAGATGAAAAGCTAAACGGCGAAAATTATGGAGAAATATTGCCTACATTGTCTCATGATAATTAATTGAAAATCAGTCGTTTTCGAGGCCAATTTTTTGATCAACACGTCATAAAGACGGTACCGTTTGGTCGAAAGAGAAGAGAGTGGGGAGTTGTCGTCCTCCATTGGCCGAGGCGCACTTCAAGATTGAGTTAGGTCGGCTAGAGCCATTCTGTGATTGGTCAAGCGCTCGACCGCTGTGTGACGTGAGCGATCTCAAAACGTTTGAAATCTTCAACTTTTAATAATTAATTATGCATTAATGAGCAATATTTTACACGTTTGTGACTGAAAAATGAATTATTCCGATCTCAAACTTGAGATTATGAAATTGAAAAAAATTCATGCAAGTTCCCTATTGGGTTATAATAATCCCGAACATATTTCCAGTGGCAGTGGCGATGGTTTTTACTCTTCAGAATTCCAGTCCCTTCTCCAAGGAAACTCGCTTCACAACGCAACAATGCCTCGTGAGCTCTCCTACGGAGCCACCATCACCCTGAAAAATCACCGTACAGGAGGAGGCTACCTCCACTCTCACTGGCACCTCTACCCCGAGGGAGCCGGTGCCCGTCAGCAGCAGATCACCACTTATTCTCACAAGGACGACAACAATTTCTGGCTCGTAAAAAAATTTGACACCGAAGAAATACCCCCAGAGCCAGAACTCGTCAAACATGGGGATCTCATCCGTCTCGAGCACACCATCACCTCCAGAAACCTTCACTCCCACAAAGAAACTGCTCCGATCTCCAAAAAACATTACCAAGTGACAGGATACGGAGAGAACGGAGTTGGAGACGCCAACGACGTCTGGAAGGTTGTCATTGAAAACGGAAAGGAAGGAGACGTGGTTCAAACAGTCACAAGTAAATTGAAGTTCGTGCATTACCTTCATCACTGTGTATTGACCTGTAGTGGCAAGACTCTGCCCAAGTGGGGATACAGCCAGCAGGAAGTCTCTTGCAATCCCAACATGAGAGACAAGAATGCTCTATGGAATATTGAGGACAACAGATACTCGAAATTACCAAACGTCAGTTTTCAAGTGTATGCCCCAGGATTTCTAGCAAGATTCTTGGAGTCACATGCTGTTATGCTCCAAGGGAACTCGGATCTTAAAGTTAAAGAGGGAGAGGTGACCTCCAGGCCCTGGCAGTGGCCGATCAATTACAGAGGACAGTTTTTTTCTGGCAGTGATCATAGAATTTATCTACTTGGTAATCCTGTCATTTGGTGGGGGAATATTGTTTTCCTTTTTTTGTTTATTGTCATCTATGTTTGGACCTCTGTGAGAGAGCAGAGGGGGTGCGAGGAGGTGGAGAATGTTTCTGAAGAGAAAGAGAAACTTACGACTGCTGGGATGTGGCTGTTCATCGGGTGGATGCTGCATTATCTGCCATTCTGGGCGATGGGACGTGTTCTGTACTTCCATCACTACTTTCCTGCGTTGCTATATAATTCTATGCTCACTGGGATCACCTTGAATTTCATCCTTGATAGTCTATTTTTTGTGTTTCCGGGGAGAGTGGCGAATGTCGTTTATCATGTGGTGCTGGGCAGCGTTCTGTCGTTCACCGTCTACAGGTAATATTCTTTCGAGTAATTTGAATAGTTAGGCCGACTGGTTTCAGTATGCAACAGCGGCCACAAATATTATAATTCCCTTTTATTTTATTTTCGTAGAGGACAGTGGGGCAAAATGAAACAGTCCAAAAATGACTGTTTTACGCAATTCGAGCAACCAAAATTTTGTTATCGACTATTTTTTTCATCAACTTTTCTTTATCAACTTTTGCATGTTTTTTTATGTTATATTTTTTTATGTTATATCGACCCATTATGATCCAAAAAGTTCAAACATGCAATGTTTAGACTGTGCCCGTACGTACGTGTGTGCTAACGTTTTTCTTCAATTGTTTGCTAATGAATGGATGGAATTGATTTTTTTTTCAAATACAGGTATTATTGAGCCCCATTGGACGCCATTAATTAAAATTTAATTCATGGATTGTTTTTTTTAATTTTTTGAATTTTTTCGAAAATTGGTTGTCCCACGATATCTAAAAAAATGTTTTGAATTGATTGACTGATGGTTTAAGAAATTTTTTTGGATGTCCTTTTGACCGAGTTCGAAGATGAAGGCAATAGCAGTAAATAATATTTTGATTTATTTTAAAATTTTCAAAAATTTTGTATTTTTCGAAAATTAAAATTCCGAAGATATTTTTGAATATCATGCTTCAAATGAATTCAATCATAGCTTAAAATGTTTGCATTAATGCCATTAAGTCGGAGTTGAAAGATGATTACGACAGCTATATCGGTTTATTTGATTTTTATGATGATTGTTGAAAATTTCGAATTTTTCATGAATTTCCCTGACAGTGAGCTTTCTGATGGTTTCTTCAAATGTGATGTTTCAAATTTATACAAGTATATGTGAATAAAATTTTTCTATCAACATTTTATCGAAGGGCTGAGGGGAGAGATAGAACTGTAAAAAAGACAATCGGTTGTATAGAAGAAAAGGGATAATAATAATAATGATGCTGATAACATTCAATTGAGTTGAAAATTTGACAAAATTAAGGAAAAGGAAATCTTCTTCAATTTATTAAAATAAAATAAACACTGAATTATACATGATAGAAGGAAATGATGTGCAAAATAACAATTCGCATATTGATAATTTATTATCAAAAATAACTATATCGCATACAATACAAGCGCAATTTGCCACTTGTTTAAATTCACATATTATTCTTGAATTTTCATATTGTGGGCCTTTCTGGGGTTCATACCAGCTGTGTCCATGTCGCGAACCCTGGATTTACGCCTTACCACTGTTTTGAATTTAATTCAATACCTTAAACTAATGAAAATTAAGTTTTGCCTTATGGAGGGAGATGCCGAATGGGGCGTACCCTGTATCTACGTGAGCATCCATAATAATTATAAGATGATTCAAAGCGGCTTACATTCATTAGTGGTTACCCAGCCACAATTTTGACAATAATTTATTAGGTGTCGTGGTTGTATGCTGAAACCGGCTGACTTTATGTAGTTTATTATTATTTAAGAATGTTGAGATCAATTATTTGGGAATATCGAAGGAAATATCTAAGGACCTGAGGGTGGAGGGATAATCCAACTTGAAAAGCAACATCCCTGAAAGGTTTCTGTGAAAAATTGTGCATCTTAAAAATGGTGTTGCAAAATTTTCCCAAAGAATTATTAATTAATGAGATAATTAGTGATTATCCATAGAAAATTAGAGTTGGTTTCCCTCGAAATTTTCACTCAAAATTTCTCGCTTCGTCGATAATCGTCTACTGAACGGACATTCCATATAGAATTTCTTTCATGCTTGCAGTTTTTACCTATTTGCACCGTTGGCTTATGGAATGGACGGTCCGTCTGCCTCAGATCCAGAGAGTCCACTTCATGCATTAAAATGGCTTGAATCCTGGGAGTTTTAAATACTACTCAACAAGCGGAAAAAATGACTAAAAAGAGAAAACAGAGTGATATTTTAAATATTTTATTACTGTTAATAAATCCTATTTTTTATTGACCAAGAAAATTATCATATTGTTTCCATCTTCAATCGACCTTGAAGTCACGCAATACCTCCACATAGAACCTTGCAAATAAAATTCAGAGGCTAATGGGTGAAACGGTTTAAGGTGATACGTCGATGAAATTTAAAATTCTTCACTGGGTTTATGGTATATGTCGGAATATGGAAACAACTGGAGATTATAGTTTTTTTTTCTTAATGTTCATTACACTCCAAAGAATAAAGTCAAGTATCCGTTTTACTTTATTCGCAATAGATCATAAACAAATGCATTTTGAATTTCATAAATTTTCTTTTAAGGCCCTGGTGGATTATCTTGCAGACGTGATCTTGGTTGCTTTTTTTATTTTGATAATCTGAAATGTTCTTCAATTACCATTCAGTTTTACATAGCCCTAGAGTCTCCAAAAATTATGATTGTACAATCAAAAAAATGTTGAACAAAAACTGAACATTTTCCAAGACGGTTTTTCAATAATATTGGGAAATAAGCCCAATAGGGAGGAAATTGTAAATTAATAATTTGATGTATCTACTGGCTGTTAGGTCGTTAGTTACTATGATAAATTATCCATTCACTATTTCCTCCCTATCGGACTTATTTTGTAATCTTTATTAAAAACGTTCTTTGACAATGTTCAGTTTTTTTTTCTACTTTTTTTGATTGTAGAATCATAATTTTTAGGGACTCCTGCGTGATCAAATCCAATGGAAATTATGAGATATTTTACATTATGGAGATGAAAAAACAATCGAAATAACGTTCGGAAGATAATCCACCCCGGCCTTAAAAACCCGTCTTTTTGCTTTAATCTGCCATTTTTTTGTTCATAAAAATTAGATTACGCATGATTACAATGTTCAATTACTAAATACAATGAATTTTTAGTCCACTCCAGAGACGCGAAAAATTTATGAAATTCCAAATTCGTTTATTCATGATCTATTGCGAATAAAGTAAAACGGATACTCAACTTTATTCTTTGAAGTGTAACGAACATTTTGAAAAGAAAAAAGCTAAAATCGTATGAAAATTATGGCGCAAGGAGAATTTGAAGGCAAAAACCGAAAAAAATGAAGTTTTCCGTGGTAATACGGTGCAAAATCTACCAGGTCCGCGATTTTCCATAGTTATTCCCATATTTCGTCATATATTACAAACTGTTCAATAGGGAACTTGCATGAAGCTCAATTCTTTCTAATTTCCCTATTGACACATTCCTCGTAACATATGGATAGCTAAACGACGAAAATTACGGAGAAATATTATCTAAATGTCTTACGATAATTAATTGAAAATCAGTCGTTTTCGAGGCCAATTTTCCGGTCATGACGTCGCGAAGACGGTCAGGTAACGCTTCATTGGTCGAAAAAGAAGAGAGTGGAGAGTGTCGTCCTCCATTGGCTGAGGCGCACCTCAAGATTGGGTTAGGTCGGCTCGAGCCATTCTGTGATTGGTCAAGCGTTCGACCGTCTTTGTGACGTCATTAGCGATCTCAAAGCATTTGAAATATTTTACTTTTAACAATTAATTATTAATTAATGAGCAATATTTCAAACGTTTGCATATGAAAAATACATTATTCAGTTCTCAAACGTGAGATTAGAAAATTGAAAAAAACTTCATGCAAGTTCCCTATCGGTCCCAAGGCCCAGTGAAGACTTTTAAATTTCACAATTTCATAATTTTTGAGTTTTCCCAAAAAAGCTGCATTTTTTTACTTGAAACGTTCTACTTCTTTGCCACTGGATTTAATTTCTATCGTCAGAAAATCTCTTCCACAGGGAGTTTCATAATCTACGAAAAAGGTCAATTGATTTTTTTTTTCAAATCTTATCGAAATAATTTCGCATTTAATCACAGTGATGTGAAACATTGATTTGCTCTGTTCTGACCCGCTCTATTACTTCCACACTGAACTATGTATATAGATAGTCATAAACGCTGAAACCGCGCAGGTGCCGAGAAACAGCTGGTAAACTCTACCTATTTGTTGACAAAATTAGTCAACTCCAGATCGTTGTGCCCATCATCATCAATATAACTTTGACCGATAAATCACATTTGGAATAAATAAAAGGATATCTAATCGAAAATGGATAAACCTCTGTTATCAAAAAGCCGACGAAAACTCAACGCCTTTTTTTCACTTCTGAATTTATATTAAACTAGTGAAAAAAATCCTACAATTGCAGCCAATTCGATTTTCTCCAGAATAGTCGCCAATTCGGTACGAAATTACACCGCCACGATCAATATCACAAGGGAGACAAATTGGAGGATCAAAATTTATCACTTCAACGATATTTAACTATCTCACCTTCAGGATTGACGTAAGCATCCTCGAAATTTTGTGCATTAATAATTATTTGCTGCGATTAATCATTCGGGAGCGAAATTTTCAAGAAAGAACCCGCCATATAAAGATCTCATATATTTCAAATATTTCACTGCGACATTCACTAAATTTAATTTACGCATTGATAAGAATATTGACAGAAACGTACGGGATGGGAAATTGAAAACATTTTATAAACTCGTTTTGATCCGCTCGGCGCATAACATTTTCTAAATCATAAGAGAGAATGCCAGTGGTGGAGTTTTCATTCATCTTGATTTGTAGGATTTCCTACTCTTCATGGGTTAGCCTTCAAAATAGCTCGTACATGTGAAGTTGTACATGTGTGAATCATGTAAGTGACACAATGGACCGCGTCAGCGATGCGACAAAAGTTTTAACTCGGATCGGTGTGAGCATCAGTCGCGATACGGACTAATAATCAAAATGTGAGAGACGGTCGAACACTTACAATCCCTATCTATCAGTTGTTTCATTACTTTATTGAAATTTCGCTGTATTCTTTAACGAAATTCGTCCCCATCACTATTAAAAACAAGCAGCATGACAGAAGCCATTTGAGAGATTACATATGACTGCTACTCTCCACGTTTTTTTTTTCTCCTATCTTCATTTCTACCAATTTCATTGATAGTACGCTTCCGAATGGATCTCAATGTATGTTTTCAAAAAATGAAGGTATAAGGATCACCATTTTTTGAAAATATTAAGGCCAATCCCACTCATACTTCGTGACAAAAATTGAATTTTTTTTCCTCAAGAATTTTGAGTGAATTGTTCCATCTCAAAAACTATCAAATATATCGACCTAAAATTTGATATAGGAATGTTCCTTGACAATTCTAACTAGAAGCCAAACTTGCAAAAGGTTTCCCTGACTTTTACCCATGTCATAGTGCACAAAAGTGAATTCCAACCAAAAATACAAAAACGACGATATCCCGAAAAATTTCAATGAGGTGGTACCCATTTTTGTTGGATCTAGACAGATGACATCAAAACGCACATTTTGAAAAGAAAAAAATTATAATCGGACCAATAGTTTTTGAGATATTAAGCAAAAGAGTTTCAGATACAAAGTTGAATATCTCCGAAACTACTGGTCCGATTTCATTCATCCAGAATCTCAAACTTTGTTACCATAAGACCTAGAATCATACCAAGTTTCAAGTTTCTCTCTCGATTATTTTTTAAGTTATCATGCGAACTAGCAATTTCAGTGAAAAAATGGAAAAACGAGAATAAAACTATATTGCTCACGGTGGAATGGTCTTTTGACAATCCAATTAAATAGGTGTCATCATGACGAGTATTTTGAGAAAAAAAAATCGAATCGGTCGAATGGTTCAGGAGATATTGGCAAAAAACGATTTTCGAAGAATCGCTACATCTCAGGGACCGCTCAACCGATCGAGCTGAAATGGAGCACAAATGTGAGTCTCAGTAGTACCAATTAGTAATCAGAATGGATACATCTAACGATGAGAAAAAGAATTGATCATACTCATTATCACTTCTCCATGGATTCAACAAAACATTCGTTACTACAATCGTGTCAAGGTTTCGTTGCGGGATTATTCTGTGTTATCAGATTTAAAATAAAAAATTTTCACGATACATTGAACGTTTCGACGAAAATGACGCGAATATGGTTGTAGTGAGTGTGTTATCACTTGGGACTGCCACTGCGTTAGAATGCCCGGAGACTAGTCGTTAATCTTGAGCGACATGTGATAGCAAGCGGTGGAGGTGTGATTTACGGGATGTATAACTCATCATTTTCGCACCTAGATGAGATCAAGGTTTTTCGTTATATTCATTATAAATTCCTTTCTGTATACGCATCTATCCACGTAACAGCAACATTCTAGTCAATATAATGATTGCTCGGAATTATTCACTAACGTACTTTGTAAAAAAGTGTTCACGTATTTCAAACCTTCCTTGGTAAGTGCTGAATTATCTCGCTAAGGAGTGATTTTTGTTGATTTTTTAAAATCACCTATTTTTGCCGGATACCCCTGAATCCACGCACGAAAAATTTTTATAAAAAAACCTATCGAATTCGTTCGAAAATTCTATTGAATTTCTATTAAACTTTTTATTAGTTTTTGGCTGATTCTACTGACATGTTCAATAGAAAACATTCAACAGAAAAAGTCAACAGAATTTGATTTTTCTATATAACTTATTCTTTTCATATATTTTCTATAGAATTTGCTCGACTCAAATTTTCCAATTTTTGCTTCCGAATGGAAGCATTGTAATCACTTTTTTTTCGATTCTCCAATTTTGCATGAATATGACTCAGGGTGGTCTGAAACGCCGACATTTGATATTTTTAGCCGATGTCCGTATGTATGTGTGTGCGTGTGTATGTATGTGTGTGTGTTCGTCCAGAAACATGTTAATAACTCCAAGACTATTCCCGCGAAAGGGCTGAAATTCTGGCTCATGATAGGTTTTGATGACATACAAATTTGTGCAAAATTTCAGCTTGATCGGTTGGATGGTTCCTGAGATATGGCGTTTTCTCAAAAATCGTTTTTTGTGAATATCTGCTAAACGACTCGATCGATTTCAATAATTTTTTCCCAGAATATGTATAACCATGATATCTATCTGATTACATCAAAACTTGATCGACCCAACACCGGAAACAGAGTTTTTTTTCATTTTTTCATTTTTTTCATGAAATCGCTCGTTACCACGATAACTCAAAAAATAATTGCGATAGAAACTTGAAATTTTGTACGATTATATGGCTAATGGTAACAATGATTGGTATTGTTGATGGG